ACAGAGTGTTTAAGCCCCAGCCAGCAGTGCCGTTTGGGAGATGGTGTGGCCTGGGTGGAGGAAGTAAGTCACTGGCAGTGTCCTTTTGAAGGGTCTACCTCACCTCTGCCCCTTCTCTTCTCTCCACTTCCTGACCACCACAATAGTAGCTCTGTCCCACTGTGCCATCCTCACCACGGTGAACCGAAACATCTCAATAAAATATGAAAATGTGCTTGTTTTATTTCTTCAGTCTTTAATAGAATCATGCTTCAACACTATATGTTGATTTTAAAGGCTTAGCTCAGGGCTTTTGAACCTAGGAATGACTTACATTTTGAGATAGGAGCTGTCCTATGATGTTTGGGATTCTTAGCAGTTATCTCTGCCTTTCACACATTAACTGGGGTCCCTCTTCTCCCCACTTCCCTATTAGTAACCAAAACTGTCTCTGAGTGTTGTTAAATTCCCACCCATCCACTGTGTGTGTGTGTGTGTGTGTGTGTGTGTGTGTGTGTGTGTGGTACAGAATGTTCCCTCAGTCTGGTTAACCATTAGAGTTCATACTAAAAGCTTCATTTCATAAGGAAAGAGTTCGTTTTATTCACTATTTCTCAGGGCTCAGAACAGCGTTTGATACATGCTATATATCATAGTAAATATGCAAATGGGTGAATTTAGTTATAGTAGCAACAGTACTTTAAAATCACAGAAGTATAGCAGCATCCAAAGTATCTCATTCTCGAGGTAGCACATTCCACACCCTATAGCATTGTCAGGAAAAGCATTTTTAAAAGGGAGTTTATGTGTAGGTTTTAGGTAATTTATTGCTTTGGCCCCCACTCATCCCAGTCTGCAAAACTGTATTTACAAGTAGATGTTTTTAGCCCGTGTCCTATAAACATAGGCCAATAGGCACATCAACTATTAGGTGGTGACCTGGGGCACCCTCTATTCCTATTCCTGCAGTTACTGTGTAAGTGCCTGCCTGCTGTCTAGACAGGAGCTGGTCACGGTCCACCAGTCCCCTAAACTGTCATATCTAAAAGTGCTCACACTTTTCACTGTCTACATAGGAGAGGAAACATGCTCCCTGTCGGCTATGAATCAAAGCTTTGTCACCTGTGAGTCTTGCTTTTCCACCCAGTGAAATCCAGTGTTCCCCACTTGAGTGCCTTGTTCAAGTCAGCTCTGCTTCTGTTGCACAGTCAGAGGCTAGATGTTAATGTCTTGCAGCTGCCAAGTGCTGCTCTGGGGATTGTCACTTTTCTGAAAGGGGCCAGAACATGAATAGCTCGAGTGTGAGCCCTAGACAAGGCTGATGTTGGGTGGGTCTTTGGGGCCTGAGAATGTCTATTACTTTGTTCCCAAGTTTCCAGTCCCTGGAAATGCGTGCAGCTTTTATCTCCTGCCCCGTCCCTGTCTTCACTGTTAGAGCAGTGGTGCCAGATACAGATTGTGAGCACCGAATTTCTTTCATTAAGTGACACGTCAAATACTCTGCTCTGTCTTGTGTCCATAACAACTGGTAGCATTTGTGGGAGAGTACTTACTGCATATTGTATTGCCACGGACCGCCTCTCGTGGAGACCACCGACCGAGGGGAACAAGGGAGAAGGCTCAAGGAGAAATCAGGAATCGGCGAGGAAATGACAGACAGACACACTCAATGTAGTTGAATATGTTGCTGTAATTTTACTTTATCTCAAGCAATGCTTATATACTGTTACAATCAGGGAACTTGGCAAGGGGGATCAGGGAACTTGGCAAGGGGGCTACATCATCAGATCATACAACAGAAAGAAAAAGAACAGCAAAATTGTTTATAGATTATCTATTTTTAGCTTTAGATTGTGGTCATTGTTTAAGGACATGATCTAAGAGTTCTCCAAAATCTGTCTCATACCATCAACCATTTCTCTACCCATTTTTTGATTTTGTGGCCCTAGATATCTTTAGGTCTCAGAGTCTAAGTCTTCTGTAAAATAAGCCTCATAAAGTTCTTCTACATTATGAAATCTATCAAATCCTTTCCATAAAGTCATCTAGTATTTTAATGTTGGCTTTATGCTTTTTAATACTTCTTTTCTCTCTTCTTTATCCCATCTACACCAGGGCTTTCTAGATCTAGCTATTTTTTTTTAAGAAAGGCAAGTCTTTCTAAAGTTGTCTTTTTCCCTCATGATTTACCCATCTATTCCCTAAACTGGCCACTTTAGCAAAGGCTTTGATAAACGGTGGGACAGAGTTTAGCATGTCCTCAGATGTTCCTTTAACATCAGTGTACTTTGAGGGCAAGACAAAAGAAAAACACAAAAAAAAAAGACAAGGAAGAAGAGGCTGCAGTGGCACCAATGACAGCTGCTTCGAGTTGACTCATCGGGCATCATGATCACCAGGGAACCGCCTGGGGCTCATCTCCGGGGAGCACAGACCCCAACCCAGCGGCCTTAACCCGCCTTAGTGGCATCTTCTGCTACACAGGCGTGACCGCCGTGGGCGTAGCATTGTATGTCAGTGCTTTTATATATAATTTCTCTTATTTCTCACAGGACACTTTACAGGTGGGCAAATTGGATACAGTCCATTAGAGTTCTCCATTGTGTCACAGACCCCAGACTAAGAGGCCGGGGTAGATCTGGAGAGACAGAGGGGCTCAACATTGCACACTCTACTCCAGGAGCAGGTTCACATACTGGTTTGCTCAGCTTTGCTACAGGTTCCCTAAGTTGCATGCTCTGTGAGTGGGAACTAAGATGCTGAAGGGACTCCTTCCCTCTCTGGTTAAGTGATTAGAAGCTCTAACACAGATAACTGACTCATCCCTTTCCTGTCAGGTAGGCATGTCTGGTCCTACTTACAATTAAAGCATCAGCCTGTGTGTGGCTATAAGATACAGAAACACCCAGAAATGAGAATTCTTGCAGTGTACCTGAAATGATGACTTGCTTGAGTTTTAACCACACAGACTAAGAATGACTTTACTTAACTAAAAGTATGATTAGATGGGTGCAGTGTAACATTGCAAGTGTGAGTATCTGTCCTTGTAGTGAACTGTTTCTAATTATTTGTACTTTTGGTATTCTGTTAAGAGCAGTAAATATTGAAGCTTTTTGTAAAATGTAAACAAAAATGATGACTGGGGGCAGTCTGTTACTCTCTTTTAGTAACAGAGTGCGAGCATTCTGCAAGAGAATAGTTAGGAAAGTCCCCAAAGTACAGGAGAAAACAATCACCTTAATTCTAAATTATAATCCAAAGTCTGATGGTTATGGTAGAGCACAGAAAAATCACACTCATATACCATATTTATCAAAATATAAACAGTGAATCCTTTACTTACTGGGTTCACCAATAAAATGTGTTGTAGCCATCAAAGATGTCAGTTTAGCTTATATCAGAAGTTTTCCTTAAAGCCAATGTCTGAGGAGTTTCTGTTGTGGAATTGGAAACTGAGTCAATCTTCTCAACACTTTATTTCTTCCTTGTAATCGTCATGTTCTTCCAAGTAATGGTTTGAATCTCTTTGGTCTAAGTCATCCAGTAAATTTCATGTCAAGTTTATTTGGCTGCATGCATCAATGTAATAGCACTGATTTCAGATGTGTCTGAAGTTTAAGCTACCCATAAATATAGTATGCAATCCTGTCACATATAGAGAGCCACCCAAAGGACAGCTTCAGAGGGGCTGTGGAACTGGCTGACTCTTGCATTTCTTGAGTTTGTACAAAGTAAATTAGGTATCTTTCATTCACAAAAATTCAGCTAACTGTACAATGACATGTTATTATCATTACATGTATTATACTTCAATCAAAAGTCCATGTACAAGCCAGGTGTGGTGTGACACAGATGTAACACCAGCACTAAAAGCTGAGTCAACAAGATAATTAGTTGGAGGTCATCATATGCTATGTAGCAAGTCTCTGCCTCAAGCAAACCAACAAATAAAAACAAGAGGTGTGTGTGTGTGTGTGTGTGTGTGTGTGTGTGTGTGTGTAAAACAAACACTGGTCCTAGCATGGTTATACTTAGAGTGGCTTCCATCCTCTTGGCTAGACACTTGTAAATTTGTTGTCTTCTGGTCATAGAAGATAGCAAAGTGAACACTGAATAATCGAGCCCATAGCTATAAAAAAAAAAAAAGAAAAGAAAGAAAGAAAAGAAGGTAGTTGTTAATCAGGTCTTAGCAATCTAGGGACATAGTTGTCAGTGGCTCTGAAAGTATAGTTCAGTAACTAAGGCAGATGTGGTGACTCCATCACCTCAAGGCTAGTTGATTTTATTATACTTATCCATTCAGTGAGCTGTGCCAAGACTGGTTAAAATATAAGGCGTCCATTTGAAGGTAATTTGATGATAGAATGAAATACCCTAAGCAGTGCTGAACAACTGGAGAAGTGTGGTACTGGCTTTTAGGGGGCCAGCTTTCTTTCACCAAGATTCTGCTTATGTAGTCACCACATTTCCAAATTAGTACATTTTTACGAAGATGCAAATAACTTACAAAGTGAACTCTGATGGAACAGACTGTATACAGGTCATGGTACACGTACCATGTGTGATTGGGACTATCGAGGCTTTGATCAGTTTCACTTTGTGATGGTGAGAATTGAGAAAACAAGTTGATGACTTTCTACTTAGAAACTCAACTTGAGGTGGAGAAAGACAAATAAGTGATGAATCTCACTTTTCAAAGAGCCCTGTCTTTGGGTTAAAAGGCCTAAGATCGAGTTTCTGCTCCATCACTTAATAAAAGATGACAGTGATTGACAGGAGGTGTATAGCTCAGTGATAATACAACATTCTGGATTCAAGCCCCAGCACTGAGAAAAAGTGTAAATGAACAAATGCTGAGTCTGTAGTGTTTACCGTTAGGTTGATAATGATGCCTGCTTGGGTCTTGGAGGGTTGCCATGGAGCTCAGATGAGAGATGTGTATACATGGAGGAAGGAAAGTTTTATTGGAGATGAACTCTGAGATGATTCCTAAGGAGATGTGTTTCTTTCTCTCCTTGCAGTTTCCACCTTGCTGCTGCGAAAGGACATGTGGAATGTCTCAAGGTCATGGTTACACATGGTGTGGATGTGACTGCCCAAGATACTTCCGGTATGTGGCTGCTAGTCTCTTATGTCATCAAGCCAGTGTGAGGGTGGGTGGCACAAAGGTGGCACATACTCGCTGTGGAAAATAGTGTGTGCAGACAAGCCAGGATCTGGGAAAAAAGAAATCAGCAGTGAGGGGATACCTTTGCTTCATCGTTTGGCTTTTCTTTTTCTTATTTTTTAACTAATTTAGTAGTTGGGATCTTTATCCTTTGAGAATAGTTGTGTGTGTTTATTTTCTGGAGAAACCAAGAACCAAATGGGGATGAGTCAGGCAAATGTATCAAACTAATATAACTATTTTTGGGAAAAAATAGAAGTATCAATGATTTTTCTGAGTAGTTTCACAGAAAATTTAAAACAATATATGAGAAAGGGCAGTGTTAGTAGAAGACTAAATGGCTTCTTTAACATGACTGCTTTGAGGGGAATATTAATTCATTTTATACAAATGGTATCTTTCATATTAGGACTCACATGTTTTATTTATTTTAAAGAACACCATCTGTTTTTAAAACTATTCAGCATCATTTAGTGCAAATATGAGTGACCAACGTACCTCCGATAATGTCAGCAAGGGGGTTTGTTCTCCAAGGAAACTGCGGTGTCAAAAGAACTAGGCTAGAGTGAGTGGACCCACTGTCCTGTGTGCAGTTTACTGCTTCTGTTGTTAGGAGATAGATCAGATGGGAGTCAAGTTACTCTGTAATCATTCCATCCTAGCTCAGCATCACCTTTCATCTCTCTTTACATTAAAGAGAGAAATAAGCGCCTTTGATAAATGTTCATGATAGGAAAGTACAAAAAAAAAAAAAATCCAAAGAAAATAACCATGGCTTTTTTTTTACTCCTACCAGAAAGAAATAAATATTATACTCCCCTTAAAAACAAAACAAACAAACAAAACATGTACTCCCTACCATACTTTACTTAGCTCAAATCATATTATGGAATTCTATGTCCTGCCTTTTGTGGGGTGTGTGTGTGTGTGTGTGTGTGTGTGTGTGTGTGTGTGTGTGTGTAAAACCAAAGAATAATCTCTGATATTCTTTAATATTATTTAAAATAAATGTTTAAATTATTTAAAAATAATATTTTTTAAAAAGTAAAACAATAAGAAAACCTGCCTATGTATCTCTTGTGACCTGGCTCATTGTCCCTCTCAAGAAAGCATATCTGAATATGAGGGAAAGAAATTAGTCACTGTGCCTAGTGGTCATCTTTAGTGCAAAATGGCATTTACAGTTGAGGGTGACAACTCAGCTTTGACAAGATGTTTTCTGTAAACCCATCTTAAATATTGCCCAGTGTTAATGAGATTTGATAGCCTTCAATGTGAAAACCTGCTGAGACTCGATGTAAAAGTCTGTCATTAAAAATACTACATTGCTGTGTCAGGATTATATCATCATTGTCGTCATGTCTTCATCATTGTTATCATTCTGGCTAGCCTGGAATTCACTATGTAGACAGTCATACATAAACTTTCAGTAATCTCCTGTCTCTGTCTCTTGAACTATAAGATTACAGGTGTGAGCCCCATGCCGGGCCCCTGGAGGACTTTCTCAGCAGTGGGAGTATGTTTCCCTGGTGCGTTCTGTTCTTTTTATTCACAAAATCTTAAGATGGTCCAATTGTAATTTTTCCTGCATTTTAAACTATTGACTAGACAGCCATTAGAGGCAAATAATTTTATTTGTCTTTTAAGTTATCCTTCTAAATGAAATGCTTGGAATTCAGAGAATTTTTATGGATGCCTCACAGAGAATCCTCTAGGAACACTGTCAGCAGGTGACTACGTACTTTAAATAGGTTAGCTGGCATAAGTGAGAGGGTCACTGTGGCATCTCAGCAGCGTCAGGCAAATGCTTATTGTATAAAATCATAGAAGGCTCATTGCAGTTGGCTACTGTTTGATCGTGACTCACAGGACTTCAGTCAGATCACTTTCTATTCTCCTTTACTCATTAGGCTGTTGAAAAGTTTCACATCTTAAAGACAAAAACAAAATAAACAAATAATAATAATAATAATAATAATAATAATAATAATAATAATAAAATAATAATAATAGTAAACAGCAACAACAACACAGTGGAAGAAAAGGGTTTGAGCCCGGAATGTTGGCACATTTTGCTATGGTAAAAGGATGGCAAGTGTGAGACCAGCCTGGGCTACTGCTGGTGATAATTTTGACTCAAACACCAAGGATAAAGAACTAGAAAGGTTTAGCAGTGTCTACACCAAGTGGTTGTGCTTAAAAATTAGAACAAACAACCCAAAGCCCTCAGACATGAAGACCATTACTTACAGTTTTGTTTGGGGTTCTCTTTCCCCTTCCTTTTTTTTTTTTTGTTGTTGTTTATGTTTTTTGTTTTCTTTCGGTTTTTCGAGACAGTTTCTCTGTGTAGCTTTGGAGCCTATCCTGGCACTCGCTCTGGAGACCAGGCTGGCCTTGAACTCACAGAGATCCGCCTGCCTCTGCCTCCCGAGGGCTGGGATTAAAGGCGTGTACCACCAACGCCCAGCTCCCTTTCCCCTTCCTTAATTGCTGTTTGCCAACAGCACCTAAGGTACAGATAGGGAGTTCAGCCTTCTCTGACTGCATCCATGGTATCCTTGTATGGTCTTGTTCTTCCCTTACACAAGGATTGGGAATTCTTTTTGTGTACAAAACATTGTAGGAATACTACAAAATGGTGCCTAGGGTTTTTGGGTTTTTGTTGTTGTTGGGTCTTTTGTTTGTTTTTACTGGTTGTGATTATTGTTGTTATTGTCTGTACACCAAAGTAGGAAACAGAATGAAATGAAAATATTACTAAAAGATTAGAGAGAATAACCCAAAAATCTACTGCTTATTCTAGATATCTGGGGCATAAGCCTCAGACTCTTCTTATTAACATGCTTATACACTGGAACAGTGTGGCACAGTTAAAAGTGACTAATGCATTAGAATTTCATCTTTCTTAGTTGATAGTGCCTGTCCACTGTGGCAGCCTTCCTCTACAACATGAAGACCCGAGAGACTAAAGAGTGATTTGTGTTATGTTTTTGTTTAAATTAGATGTAAAGAAAAAGAGGAGGTGCAAGATGAGACATATTAACCAGCTTATTATAGGCCCGGCAGAGTAGGGAGACTAAGAGAGAAGAGAAACAGGGTAAATGGCTGACCACCATGGCCGGTCGCCAAAGAGAGGCAGAGAAAGCACGTAGGTGGGAGAAGAGCAGAGCAGAGTAAGGAAGCAGCAGAGAGAGAACAAAGCAGGGAAGTTGGAACTTTTAAAGGGAAGACTGTGCATGCGTACTGAGGTTCCATGCATGCCCAGAGTCCTCATGCAGGCTGTAAATGCGTGGTGGTTGATGTGGTGATGGCACATCCCTGTGCGTGCCCTGACTGTTGTCAAGGGGCAGGGTCTGTCTCTTAAAGAGGTAGAGCCGATCAGCATTAAAGCCTGAACCTTTCATTTTGTATGTCTTATCACACTTACAACCCTAAATTATCTCTAATCTCTTGATGCACTTTTCCTTATCAAGCTTCTTTAGTTAGAAAGGATATTTAGACTAGTGGGAATCAGTACTATGAAAACATAATAGTTGCTAGGATACTTGTTTCATTTTTGTTTGTTTGCTTGCTTTTCTTTTTAAACCTGAGTGGCCTTTCATTATATTAAACACACTAATCCCACTCAAAATTGACACCCTATGAAAATGGAAAAGATAATTGTGGATGTATTGGTGAAGGCTTTTTATACTAACATTTGGGAAGCAGAGGCAGGCACATCTCTGTGAGTTCAAGGCCACTGTGGTCTACGTAGTGATTTCTGGAACAGCCAGACCGACAGAGTGAGACTCCCCCCATCCCAACAAAAAAAGAAAAAAGAAAATGGAAAAGGTACTATTCACATTTTAGAGGATAATTCATCCTAATAGATGTATATCATAATCAATAAGTGTGGTTCATTTATATTTTATCTTCAGAAAGAAAAACAAGAAAAGTATGACTTAGAATACTTGACTTGCTACTAATGCGTGTATGTGAGGAGGTCATGAAAGGTCATGAGACAAGAATCCAGCAACCTGGTCATGAAAATACTCCAGAGGGTAACACTCAGAAATGACCTTGGATTCTATATTGTGCTTTAAAGATGAGGGCACAGGGGCAGCCTCATAACTCTAATGACAACATTACTGTAAACATGTATTTTGGGGTCTACTTTCTCTCTGGGAGCGTAGTGAGGTGACTTACTTACTTCTGCTTTAGTGGTAAAAATTCACCTGAAGACAAGGATTTCTAAAAAAAGGTCGTGTGTATGTGTGTGTGTGTGTACATATATATATATATATATATATATATATAT